TTCAAGAGCATCAGACTACTAGCTCTGACTTGAACTAAGCAGAATAAACAAAGCAACTGTAAGTCAAAAGTCCTGCTTAAAAGAACTTATTTTATTTATTCTGCTTATCTCAAGACTCAGTTCAACAGACATTTGAAATACTTATATTTTGTTTTTCAAAATGTACTGATACAATCAATGTCAAATAAGCCTAGAGATTTCCACGCATGAGTAGGTAGTTTTCTGGACACACACCATAAGCCCCATTTACATGAGTGATTCACAACCCATGGGTTTTGAACCTCTGTCAGCTCCTTATTACAAGGAATCCGTATAAGTGTCACCTTCAGTCTGAATAAATAATATATCTTAAAAGTATGTATATACTATATTTTAATTGAATTTGGTACTGGTGTGACTAATAAGACAAACTGATTTAAATGCATTACTGAAATCATAGCAGCTTTTTGTAATGTATACTAAAAGTTATTTAAAAGATACTAAAAATACAGTTGTCATTTTGTTGAGAGGGAGTCTAATAATTTTGGGGTATCTCTTATTAGAAAAAACACAGAACCAAAGCTCGATCACATGACTCACACATCTAGATGTCGTAGCTGAAAAAGGAAAGGCATACAGACCCCACTTCTGTGGGTACCATGTAAGTGCAATTTGGCAACAAAACATAAAGCTTATATGCAGAAGAGCTTAGAGTTGATTGCCTGTAATTCTACTTGTCTACAGCAAGATCAAACTTCATAAAGCCCTTTGATCAGAGAAGGGCTCTATTTTGATCCTGGAAAATATCTTCTCTTGTATACATTATATTCTATGCATTCAAAACCTGGAGTAGCCCTGTGGTTCCCAGCCATAGGGCTGCAGTGCTGACATTACCATAAAGCTAAGATTCTCCCAAGAAGATAGCCGCTTGTGATGTGTTAACATCATCAAATCTTTCCCAGAACTCCCTGCATCAAAAGTCACACTGAGATTCATTTTACAAACTCTCAGTAAGATTATTCTCCTTCCTGGTCCCCCTAAACCCCAAAATTGTGTTGGTTGACTCTAATCATGAGCCTGCTCTTTCTTTTCTTACAATCTGTCCTCCTTCACAGATGTCAGTGGCCTGCCTAGATCAGCTCTAGTAACCAACTCTGAAGCACTTCCCTCCTGATTAATTTTTAAGACTAATAGATTTATAAAGTTGGATTCCTTAAGAAAAAGCACCTGGTAATCAGGGAAAGGGAAAACTGAAGCATGCAGAAGGTCATGAGAGAAGTCAATCTCACACTAATATTTATCAAGAAATTTTAAAATTTTCAATAGTAATTATATTTGAGTTCAACTATTTATAACACAGATGAAACATCCTTTCCTCAAAGTCATTTATTCTCAATGCTTAGAAATGACTGGGCTTTTACCTCCACTGAATTTCTTCAGCCTTATAACAGGGTGCCTGCCCAAGCTAACATAACAGAAAACCCATGAGCACACAAGGTCTAAAGGTACATACAGTGAGATAATCAGACTGCGAGGCTCCAGCCCTCCACTGTACCCCCTGCTCACTCTACTTCAGTGCCCGTCACATCTTTTCTTCTTCCAGTGTGAAACATGAAGTGAATATACATACATTATATGTACATAAACATATATATATATGTATATACACACAAACACATAATGAGGAGCTCTGGTGGCATAGTGCCTAAAGCATCTGACTGCTAACCAGAAGGCTGGGAGTTCAAACCCACCAGCCACTTCTCAGAAAGAAGACTGGACAATCTACTTCCATTAAGATACTGCCTTGGAAACCCAAGGAGGGGTCGCTGTGAGTCAGGACCGACTTGATGGTAGTGAGTTATATACATAATGTGTATGTGTGCAATACCAGAGCTCCTTAACTTGGAGAACCAATTACTGAACCAAAGCACTGCTAAAGAAAAATATCTAGCAAGCACTTGCCCAGTTCTTAGGCAACAAATGTTGACAATTAAAATTTACAGTAAAATAAGGAAGCAATTTAATTGTCATTTCCACATCCTTGACCTAGTTACTCCTTTTTCTTATAAATCTACCATTAGAGGAGACACATGGCAACAGGGACAAAATGTCATTCTGGATTCTCCAGGTTTTCCAGAGAATTGACAACAGAAACTTAGAGGGAAAATTAATGTTTAATGCCAGGATTATTCCCTCTGCCCTCAATGCAAGAGCTCAGAAATTTCAGTGATACTGGAGGTATCAGCCAAATGTTCACCACTTCTGCCCTTCCACTTCACTCTCCAATTCTGTCCAGCCAGAATTAACCCACATTTTGTTGTTGTTGTTATTTGCCGTCGAGTCGGCCCCAACTCATAGCGACCCCTCCTTGGGTTTCCAAGGCAGTATCACTATGGAAGTAGGATTGCCTAACCTTCCTTCCGAGGAGCGGCTGGTGGGTTTGAACCGCCAGCCTTCTGGTAACCCACATTAAGAAGGGTTAAAGTAGCCCATCTGGAAACTACCTAAGAAGCAATAATCACTGGGAAGCCAGTAAGGCACTGCCTTATTTAATCTCTCAACCTCCAGGTCTACTGACTTCTAGGAAGTCGCTCCTAATTATGTGCTAATCAAATAGTTTTCTCCCCTTGAAGGAAAAAAGGAAGATAAAGAAGAAAATATATTCAAGAATAAGAAAACAATCAGCTCAGCTCTGCACAGAATCCACCGGACAGGCCATTTTACACCAATGTAAGGGCCTAAGTCAACACTTAAGAACTCAAGATCTAAAATTGCAAATATTCTCTTCTCTTTGACAATGAGAGAGCTTAATCATCTCATCCTTGACTCCTATAAAATCTCCAGATTCCTGAGTCTATAAGCCTTCCAGCTGTAAAGGAAAGAACCTGAAAAGTCCACGTTCTAGCCCCTGCCTTTTGCATTACATCCAAGCTGTGTTTGAAACATTTTGAAGACAAGGTATTCTTAGAAAGAATGTCTTAATCCCAGCCATATTCTGATTTTAGACTAATAAACTGGCATATTTCTCTCTAGAATAGGAGGCATCTCAGACTTCTAGGTTAATTTAGTTAAGGAGAAAAAATCTAAATGATGCATATAGCAGCATGATTCTCATCCCACAGACATTTCCTTCACTGTTTAATCCTAGCACTAAGGTCTCTAAGCCAAGATAGGTTTTCTCATAGAGATACACTGTTCACTTGGCCAATTTTACATGCGTGTGTCAGGGGGTGTGGGTGGGGGTGGGGCAGAGCTGGGAAACAGCATGAGCCTCATGTCTTCTAACTACTAAAGCAGAAAGAATGAAGACAATTTCAGGAAAATTTCACCTCTGATACTGTCTGCTATACGGTGTGCTGAAAGGCAAGATCCTATCCAGTACTTTGTTTCTACCCCTTTGTGAAACTACTCAGATCCCTTCTAGTTCTCTAGGTACCCTAAGTAAAAATATAACTGTCTGTGTAGTATCTTCAGACAATGGCCAAACCCACTGGAACCGTAGATTCCAACTGATAGCAACCTTTTAGACAGAGTAGAAGTGTCCCATACAGTTTCCAAGACTGTACATCTTTCTTGCACGGAGCAGCTGGTAGGTGTGAACCAGTGAACTTTTGGTTAGCAGCTGAATATTTTAACTACTACACCACCAGAGCTCCTTCCAGACGATGGCAGGCAGAAAAAAATTCCCAGGCTAACGTAATTTTTCTGAACCAGCCGATTATCACTGAAAACTGTAATGTGCCCATACTCGAACATAGCCTTCCTCCATCTAAGTTATTGGCTAAATATTTATAATACACCTCTCCCTTCCCTCCCCCCAACCCCCTACTCCCAATTCAAAACCAATGTGTACTTTCAGGCTACATTTTAATAGCCATAGTAAATAGGTCACATTCCCCAAAGGAACAATCTGTACAGAGGTGTGATAATGAGTGGTATGAGAAAACATCTTTTATTCCCTTTGGACCCGACCTGAATCACATCTTCTGTCATGGTTTTTATAGGTAGCATATTAATTCAGCAGGCCTCTCCCACTTTCTTCCCTCCATTACTCATTCATCTTCTACCAAAGTACAAGCAAAGATACCACTATCCACTTCTTTCATCCCAAAAAAATGTCTGAAAATCAACAAAAACTAAGAAAAGACTCCTAGCCAAGAAACAGACGCACTAAAGCGTGGCATTCTGTATCCTGATCATTACAAACCATGATGAAGGGTTGATTCAGCCAGTGATAGCCTGTGCACTCTTCATGCCCCTTACAGGGGCACAAACAGCTATTACAAGTCTCATCACTTCCTTCTCACACTGAGTTCCAACAATATTCTTGATCATCTTCATTCACTCAACTTTAAACACTGAAATGCTCCAAAGAGCCATGCACTTGTGCATGACACTGTTAAGCTGAAAAAATTAGGTCCCCCTCTCCTAAACCAAGTTGTTTGGGGCATGATCACAATGATCAGTTTGACTCTAAGTGCTGCTAGAAGCAAGCAGAACAGGAAGGTTTCAGAGATGAAAAAATGGTCTTAAAAAATTAAAATGAGACAATGTAAAATCCCAATACCTAAAGACCAACAAATTATCAAAAATAGTGAATTAACTGTGAAAGTGGTGATGAAGTAATCCCATTTCTGTGAGGGAAATTATTTTAAGGTCCAGAGGACAAACACAGTATGGGGTCATTAAAAACACCTCAGAATATTTCAAATATCTGTCCACTGTGCCTGTATCTTACCTAACTCACTCCCAAAAAGGCTCCAGAATCAGGTTCCCACCACATAAAGACTTCTAAAACATGTCATGTTGGTCTTTGGGGAAACTCCATCTCCTGAAATAGTCTTTAAAAATTACAATGAGCAAAACAAAGAGTACAATGATAAGTCACTTTCTCCTGTCTACTTTAATTTTTCTTTGATTTGCTCTTTGAGAATCAAGACAAAACAAAACCATAAGTCTCAGATTCCTGAATTAATCTGACCTCATCTCATGGCTAATGTGGCCAAGAGATGCTGCTTTTGTACAATCAAGACAAAAGAACTTTATGTCAGCAGGACTTCAGGGTTCTGATTCCACTGTAGTTATTGTAAAATATACTAATGGTAAGTTGGAGATTAGAGGAGGAGGCTGAAACCTCCATTACAAGGCAGCAAGACAGACAGCAGGACCCTAACTAGACTTTAAGGAACTGATTCTATTTTTTTTTTGGGGGGGGGGGGAAGAACCCACATAATTAAGTTTCACACTTACAAAACTATCACTCTGAATTCAGGAATAAGAGGCATTTGGTTGTAGATACAATTCCATCTGTAGATACTAACTTTAAATCTGGAGAGGAAAAACACTCATTGATTGCATTAGTATTATGGGTTGGAGTTTCTTAAGAGATTCCTAAATCCATCTATTATTTTTTGTTTGGATACAATTTACAGCTGTGGTATTAAGACTACCACAAACCCTGGCTCAGGTGTGGTTTTAGCTTCAGAAAGTCCACCGGTCATGTAGCTGGCTGTCACTGCTAAATCTGTTGCTTGCAGAGGCCTCAGAGCTCTGGGTTTGCCGAGTAGAGTCCTCACCATTTAAGCTCTTCCTACACACAGGACACGTGTCATGCTGAAACAGAAAGATGTCAGTCCCTGTGAATAGCCTGATCTGGGAAACTGGGGGTACAAAATGCTTAACAAGTTCTGAGACTTGGCACTTCAAAAATTATGACTTGGCTACTAGAAAAGCAAAAAAGGCATATATCCTGATACAGTGCATAGTAGGCTCCAAGGTGAAACATCAGGACCTCTTCCAACTAGAACTTTAAGTTCTAGATCAGTAACCTAACTATAGCTAACACATACTACCAAACAGAATTGACCAGAAACAATGACTTGGGATATGACAAGAGGGTAACTTCCCATCACCTGCCATATGGTCTACAGCAGGGGTCAGTAATCTTCTATAAAGAACAGAGAGTAAATATTTTAAGTTTTGTTGGCCACAGCATCCCTATCACAAAAATGCCAATGTAGCACAAAAACAGCCATAGACAATCCATAAACAAATCAGTATGGCTGTGTTCCAATAAAGGAACTCTGGTGGTTTAGTGGTTAAGATATTTGGCTGCTAACCGAAAGGTCTGTGGTTTGAGGCTACCAGCCACTCTGCAGAAGATGAGACAGTCTGCTTCTGTAAAGATTTACAGCCTTGGAAACCCAATGGGGGTTACCATCAGTCAGAACTGACTCAATAGCAGTGAGATTGGTATTCTTTTGGTGTTCCAGTAAGGACCTTGAGTGGTGCAAATGGTTTGAGCTTGGCTACTAACCGAAAGGTCCGTGGTAGAAACCCACTCAGCTGGGGCCACAGAAGAAAGGCTTGGTGATCTGCTTCTATAGAAATTACAGCCAAGAAAACCCAGTTCAGTTTTACTCTACTGTTGTCACATGGGGCCACCATGAATTGGAACTAACTCGATGGCAAAAGATTTGGTTTAAAGTGTGTTCCAATAAAACAAATTAAGGTGACAGATTTGGGCGATGGGTTGTAGTTTGCCAACCCCTGGTCTAGAGATAGAGAAGATTCAAACAGATAGTAGCCTTAAAAAACAATAATGGTGGTACTAGGAGTTAGCCATGGGCTTACGGGACTAAAATTGGATCTGATTGCTCTCCATGACCTGTTATCTGTACCCTTACTCTCAACTAGTCCCTCAGAAGGTGTGATTGGCACAGATGTATCCATCACAGATGACAGCTGACTACTCACCAGTTCTAACCACGGCACAATACAACTGCTATGAAAGAAGTGGTTGCAGGGTAACTGCCGGACCTCCTCTTCCACCGTATAATCTTCTTTGCATACTGGACACTCTAAACCCATATCTGTTGGAGGACAAAATGCCTTTTAAAGTAAATAAGAAAAAACAAAAACCCAATGTCTTTAATAGCCCAATGAATGCATAAAGACAAGACACAGAAGATGCAAGGTGCATCCAAGTAAAAGATAAAATGCACGAATTCTATTTCAAAATGATGGTTGGGGAGGAAGTGGTCATAGACAGGCATGTAAAAAGGAGGAATGATGACTGGGGCCTAGACAGGAACTATTTAAGGCCTACTTTTCAATTTAAAGAGTTGGAAAAAATAAATTGTAGCTTAAATTATTTTTTAAGTAAACCAGGAAAAACATTTTCCTAAATATTGTCTTCTCAAAGTTTCAACTTGGGAAATGCTATCAGCCTGTCAACCACAACCAAGGGACTTATCTCGTAATCTTAGTAGTTCCCGGAGTCTCAAGCTGCTTTTACCCTACTCTTTTCCACTATACTTGTCCTCTCTTAGCACGGTTGTTTCCCTGCACAAGTTGTTAATTAACAGCTGTACAGGAGATGGCGCTGCAGAACTGCAAAGCCAGGTTACAAGCATTGTTACTCCCAATGTAGTAGAGGGCCAAGCCTTCTCAAAGGAGTAGGCTTCCTGTCTCAATGCTTGTCACCTGACCTCCACCTAGACTGCTGCAACAGCCTCCTAAATCTCTCCTTCTGCCCTCTCCCCTTTCCAACCTATTTTACACACTGCCTCCCAACTAACAGTTCCTAAAGACCAGTTAAATTTCCTCATTCCTCCACTTGAGGACCTACAAAACATCCCTATTACCTAAAATATCCAGTCCTAACTTCTCTGCCACTTCCAAGATCTTCTATAATAAGGCCCTACCTTTCCTATCTAAGGAGCTCTGGTGGTATAGTGGATAAGACATACGGCTGCTAATGAGAAGGTCAGCAGTTCAAACCTACCAGGTGCTCCAGAGAAGATGAGGCAATCTACTTCTGTGAAGATTTACAGCCCTGGAAATCCAACTGGGATCAGTATGAGGCAGAATCAACTCGATGGCAGTGGGTTTACCTAGTCATACTTGCCCCCTAAAACCCAAACCCATTGCCATGGAGTAGATTTTAACTCATAGTAACCCCACAGGGCAGAGAAGAACTGTGCCATCAGGCATCCAAGGCTGTAATCTTTACAGACATAGATGCCTACATCTTTCTCCCTTGGAGTGGCTGGTAGGTTTGAACCACTAATTTGGTTTGTAGCACGGCACTTTAACCACTGCACCACAGGCACCTTTGTCATACCTCTCACTGCTCCTTAAACCAGATTCTATTTAAGGTGTAATACCACACTCAACACTCACGGCCATCAAGTCATTCCAACTCACAGCAACCCCTCCTTGGGTTTCCAAGGCGGTATCTCTACAGAAGTAGGTTGCCCAGTCTTCCTTCTGAGGAGTGGCTGGTGGGTTTGTACTGCCAGCCTTTTGGTTAGCAGTCAAATGTCTTAAGCACCACGCCACCAGAGCTCCCAATAAGGTCTCCAATTTAAGATGTCCTTATATCAAACTCAGATACCATGTCCATGCTGATATTCTGGTTCATATTTTGCCTGAACCAGCATGATCTCTCCTAAGACAGCCCATCTTGTCTTTAAATCTTGTTGGGCAAGAAACTTCCAGTCCAAAATAATGTCCCTTAGCAGTAAATTCTTCAGTGTTTATAAATGAGCTCATACCTATGTCTGATGTACCCAAGCATACCTGGCACATGGTAAATGTGCAACAAATTCCCAACCTCCTATTTTTTGCTCCTCCCTGTCCTCTACAGTCAGTATGACCTTCTCAAGACCATTTCTTAGACTGTTGCCTAACTGTCTGATAAATTTTGCTTCCCCTAATTAATGTCTTACTTGTATTTATCCTTTTTATTTCCAATGGTACCTAGAAAAGAAAAACAGTATCTACCTAAGAAATAGACTAAGCCAATGAATGGGTAGGTACCTTCTATATTTGGCAACCAGGTAGCAATTTTAGGGTAGATATCTTCACTTGTAGATCCTTATATAGGAAGGTGCAGGGACTTTGAATGGAAATCAGAAGGTGACAGAAGATGAGAGAATAAGTTTGCAAATGAACCTACCAACTTGTTCCTGAGTTACTGTCACTGTTGGAAGAGATGTGATTTTTTCCTTATCAGCTGGGGGAGGGCCTGTGTTTTCCAGCTGTCCTAAAAGCTACCAAAAAAAAAAAAAAACCACAGCAGTTAATGATGATGAAGAATAAGACAAATTAGCAGATACGTCAATAACCCTGAGGAGGGAGCTAGTCTAACTGAGAACAAACAAAGGCAGATGTTAGAAGTGTTACTCTTACTTATGCAAGGCTCTGAGAGGCTTGGGTATCCCCTTTCCTGCTGTCAGAAAACTATTAATTGCTTTACAATTTCAGAATGACATCAATAAAAGCCTACAGACAGATGCATCATTGTAAGGCCCACCTTTAGACATAAGCAACTTCAGTGGCAGCATAGGGTTTGTGATGTCATGAATAAAACTACAGCTTAATAAAAAGTAACACTAAACTGGTCCAAAAACTTCTCTCTGCTGGAAGGAAAAAAAGGATGGGAGTTTGAAAACAGCGTAAGGTAAAGCAAAAAAATAGGTAAATTTCTGCCTGTAAGACAGATACAAATGACATGCTTTCTGTTCTCAGCAACACATAGGGAAATGAAAAAAATAATCAAATTAAAATAAACATAAATAAGTAGAAGAAGTTATACATGACACAGAAGTATCCTTTACTTTGCCTGCTTACTTTTTTTCTCTGCTTCCTTTCCCTAGTTTGCTCTATCCAACAGAAATGCCTCCTTCAACATGTGAGCAGACCATTGTTTTTCATGGTGTACTTGTTAATAGGATCCTCAAAGAACTGAGCAAGAGGCCAAAAATACATTATACAGTTTGTCACAGAAAAAGTCTTCTTTTCCTAGAGATGAAATTATCTTCTAGAAAGCCCCTAGAACCTAAAAGGCACATGGATGCTGAGCTAAACATCCAAACCACATATCCCTTTAGTAAAATAGAAACCATAAGCTCAAATTACTAGAGAAAGCAGAGTGACAACCATTTCAGAAAGCAAGCAGGAAACCTGTGAACTGACTATGAGACACACTGTAAAGACACCCTCAAAGGGCAGTTCCTCACCTGGGTTACAATTGCATCAAGCTCTGTCTGACCCCAGGCATAGTCCTCAGGGTTGGAATGCAGCATCCCATACCTATACATGAGATGTGACAGCATTAGACAGAGTGATAAGGTTCAGCCTTATACCACAGAAAAAACTGGCAAAGGGAGCCTGTTCTCTCTCACAGCTGCAAAGTAACAAGTCCTCTAGAATCAAGTGGCAAAAAATTTCTCTATATTTACAAGTTCAAGCAGACTATCCAGAGATAATCTCTCATTCTCTCAGATTTTTCACTTTACTGAAAGGAACATAAAGTTATCAAAAGTATCACATGACATCCCAGAGTGAAGAGTGACTCATTGTTAGTTAATTAAACTGTCTTTTCTGTGCCCCCTTAACATTAAACATAGATGGAACTACTTTTTTTTTTTTTTAGGATTTGGGTGAAGATTTACAGAGTAAATTCACTTTTCATACA